TCTTGATTCGGTTTGTTTGGGCTCAATACGTCAGGATTATTTACCCAGAACTAAGCTCTAGTATTTGACAGGAATCCGATTTACTCAAGAAATTTGAGAAATGAACACGAAATCCAATATATTTCTAAAAATATCTATTTAAATTACTTATTTTGAACCTTTAATAATAATTTTGTTCATCTATTTACAATATATAGTCCCAATAGTGTGTGAAAATTCGATGTTATTTACAAAAGTTGTAGATAATATTAATCTGCACATTTCAAAATTATTTTTGATTATACATAGTGATCCATAACTTCAGAATTGATCAAAACTTTGTTTTTTTAAACGGACCAACCTGTATTTAATTGTAAATTTGAATTCCCCTGACTTTGACCTTCAAGAAAATACCAACGTGTATGAGGTTATACTGGGTATTTTGGAAGTTTAAACCAATTTTATATGAAAATCGTACTAGGTTCAACCCTCTGTATATTTCAAAAGAAACAATCGAACATCCAAATTTTTTGATGAGTCATTTTTAATGATAGTCTACTTTTATAAGAATATGCTAATTTTTTCCTAGCGCAATAGACGTGTACAGAACTCAGATACATGATTTTCTCAATTTTTTTAAATGTAACAACCTGTATTTCATATCACTACTAAAAAGTACTCTAATTATACGTTCGTTTGAGTTAAATATTGCCTATCCCTAAACATAACAGTTTAGCGAGATTCTTGATGAAATGTTAAAAAGGATTAATTATAACTAAATTCACAATGTAATTTGATTTAACTCCTGTTAAATATTACATACTAGTTACTAGTTAATCAGTTTATATTTTTAATTTATCTGGTACAATTTTTTATCAACTAAAACTATTTTTTGGAACATCTACAACTTTTTATATAAAATGCAATGAAAACACTAACAGAACTTCAAATCTTTTTGTGCATTAGTTCAAGTGGGCTTTGAAATTCATGTCAAAAGAATAATTTGACAGTTCCGAATTATTTAAGTAAAAAAATTAAATTACGTTTAGTATTCACAAGTATTTAAATTTATTGATTTGACTAATTTAAAAATAAATTTTGAAACGAATGAATTTACTGATATGATTTTAGTGCTAGGGGCTAGTGATGAAAATTGCTTGTTGGCAACTAGAATTTTTAAGCAAAAATATCCTGATCGCCGACAACCTCGTAAAGAAATTTTTGAAAATCTGTTGGAAAGATTTAAACGTACAGGTAATGTAGCATATCAAAAAAATGATAGGGAAAAACGAACTTTAAATGAACAAAATGAACTCAGTATTCTACTTAGTGTTACCGAAAATCCAAACACCAGTACACGCATCATGGAAAATGAAAAATAAGTAAATCATCTGTCAATAGGATACTATTAAAAAATAAAGTACATCCATACCATATCCAGCGTCATCAGGAGCTTCTTGAAAATGATTTTCAAGAAAGAATAACTTTTTGTGAATGGGCAATAGAGAGCATTAATAATGAAAATTATTTTTTTGATTATGTACTTTTTGGGGATGAATCAACATTTCACAAAAACGGTTTTGTCAATAGACACAATTTTCATTACTATTCCACCACCAATCCTTATGAGTTAATGACACATAGCCAAACACGATGGTCTATTAACGTTTTGGGTGGTATATTAGGGGACTATGTCATAGGACCACATTTCCTTCATGTTCGTGTAACTGCCGAGGTCTACTTAGACTTTCTGCAGAATCATCTACCACTACTATTGGAAAATGTTCCTGTAGGTAGCAGGAAATCAGAATCTCAGTAATTAAAAGATAATTTTATTTTAAAATATGAAAAGTGTTATATAAAAATTGTTGTGTCAAAGTCTTGTCTTGTTAATTTCGAAATCAGTATCCATCAAATTTTTTGTTTCCTTTTTCCATGGTTACCATCCATCGGATTAGTAGGGTGCTAGTGTACGCAGCTATCGACCAAGATCATAATATATGTGATATTATAATGGTGCCATCTGACATTGACACTTGACCAACCTCAAATAAAAACTGACTAAGAAACCTTAAAATAAACTGACGTAAAAGTCAAAACTAAAGGTAAGACTATGTGGTGCTATGATGTCGCCACATAACCTCCCCGCTCAAATTGTAGGTAGCAGGAAATCAGAATCTCAGTAATTAAAAGATAATTTTATTTTAAAATATGAAAAGCGTTATATAAAAATTGTGTCAAAGGTACGTCTTGTCTTGTTAATTTCGAAATCAGTAATCAATCAAATTTTTTGTTTCCTTTTTCCATGATTACCATCCATCGGATAAGTAGGGTGCTAGTGTACGCAGCTATCGACCTAGATCATAATATATGTGATATTATAATGGTACCATCTGACATTGACACTTGATCAACCTTAAATAAAAACTGACTAAGAAACCTTAAAATAAATTGACGTAAAAGTCAAAACTAAAGGTAAGACTATGTGGTGCTATGATGTCGCCACAGTTCCACTAAATATAAGACGCCGAATGTGGATATTATATGATGAAGCTCCTGTACATCATGCATCATGCTCAACCAGTTCGCAACTTTATGAACCATAATTTTGAAAACAGGTAGATTGGAAGAGATGGTCCAATTAAGTGGCCTCCCAGGTCCCCTGACCTCACTAAAGTAGATTTTTTTTGTGGAGTTTCGTAAAAACGAGGTTTATAAAACTAGTCCATTAACTAGCGAAGAAATTAAGGAAAGAATAAGACAAGTGTTCGCGAGCATAGATGTACAATGTTTGAAAAACGTTCAAAGATCATTTAAAGCTAGATTAGAGCATTGTATTGCAGTTGGAGGGAGTCACTTTGAGCAGCTTTTATAATAGCTTTTTTTTCATTTTTTAATATACTAATGTTGCATTCTAAAAAAATTAAAATAACTTATTTTTGATTCATATTTTTTTCATTCAAATATAAAATATCTCTTCTAAACTGTTGTGTTTAGGGATAGGGACAAAAGTACTTTTAATACAGAAAGTAAAGAAAAGTAAAGAAAGTAAATTCAGTTGATAATAAATTGTAGCTAGGTACCTTAAAAATTTAAACTGATTAAACAGTATATTTTAACAGGAGTTTAAATCAAATTACATTGTGAATTTAGTTATAATTAACCCTTTATAACATTTCATCTAAGAATCTTGCTAAACTGTTGTGTTTAGGGATAGGCAAAATTTACCTCAAACGAACGTATAATTAGAGTACTTTTTAGTAGTGATATAAAATACAGGTGTTACATTTAAAAAAATTGAGAAAATCATGTATCTGAGTTTTGACTCACCCTGTATACGTCTGTTGCGCTAGGAAAAACTTAGTATATTCTTATAAAAGTAGACTATCATTGAAAATGATTCATCAAAAAATTGGGATGTTTGTTTCTTTTGAAATATACAGAGGGTTGAACCTAGTACGATTTTCATATAAAATTGATTTAAACCTCCAAAATACCCAGTATAACCTCATAAATGTTGGTATTTTCTTGAAGGGCAAAGTTAGGGGAATTCAAATTTACAATTAAATACAGGGAGGTCCATTTAAAAAAACATAGGTTTGATCAATTCTGAAGTTATGGATCACGCTGTATAATCGAAAATAATTTTGAAATGTGCAGATTAATATTATCTACAACTTTTGTAAATAACATTTTTTAATATTTTCTATAATATAGGATATATTGAACTTCCACACACTATTGGGACACCCTGTATAAATATGTTTCCAAAATTAATTTCAACACATATTAGTAAGACATATTCTTCCATCATCCTCTTCATTTTATATTACAATCATACCGACCCATTCAATCATATTATCGTGCTTAATAATTACAATTTGTACAAATACAAGTATATTTTTTCTTCTTGTAAGATTACCCATATGATTATCTATTTACAATACCAATAAATATATTTCCAAAATTAGTTTCAACACATATTAGTAAGACATATTCTTCCATCATCCTTTCCATTTTATATTACAATCATACCGACCCATTCAATCATATTATCGTGCATAATAATTACAATTTGTACAAATACAAGTATATTTTTTCTTCTTGTAAGATTACCCATATGATTATCTATTTACAATACCAATAAATATATTTCCAAAATTAGTTTCAACATATATTAGTAGACATATTCTTCGATCATCCTCTTCATTATATGTTACAAACATACAGACCCATTCAACCACATTACCGTACATAATAATCACAATTTATACAAATTCAGGTATATTTTTTCTTCTTGTAAGATTACCTATATGTTTCGTTCTTTTTTTAATAAAAAAAGAAAAAAAATCGAATATTCTATGATACTTTATTGAAGGAATGGTTTAAATCGCCAATATTTGCATTTTTATAATTCAGTTGGCGAAGAAAATATTCAAATATCTAAAAATTATTTTAATTATTCACAAAAAACCGTATTAATCTAGAAACTACTTATCTTTAAATGAAAGATATTTTTATAGTGAAAGACATGGAAGTCATAAAATAATTCAGTATTCTAGTATTCAATTTTTTTTTGTTTTTATATAATTAAGCATTGATTTTTCAGTAATATAGAGAAATATGAATTAATGATCTGATTTCATTTCTCTTGCATGTAATTGCACGTAATTGCAATCATAAAATAATCCGAGTTCATAAAAAAAAAAAAAATTTAAGAGAATGTCACTCTTACAAGAAGAATATATACCTAGAACATTTTAAGTATTTTTGGCAAACGCACCCAAAGTTTTAAAACTTTATTGTTTTCCTTGATAAAAGCTGTTTGAACTGTGGATAATGTCAAAAAACTTAACTTTAGAGATATGTTACAAATTTTTTGATACATGTTATTTTTAAATTTAGGTTTAAACAATTGTAAGTATATTAATATTGGAATCCTCAATTACAAAAAATTTGAAACATATTTCCTCTTAGTAAAAAAAATCAATTTTATTTAAACTTTGCAGCTAAATATTTACCTGACATTTGTGTAGTACGCTAGCATAAAATCCATCGTGTAATCCATCGCACTTGAAGGTTATATTTGCCGGAACCCTTTCATAAAAAGGATAGTCGGATAAGTTGTATCCATTCAGTTCTTTGGGAAGATTTGGATCCCATATATAGTCTATTTGTGGTATGCCTGTAAGAACAGGTTTCGTACTATTGCCACTTGCTTCGCCATCTGTTTCTGTTGTGTCAGGCTGAAAGTAAAACACCTTATTGTATAAAATAGTTTTTAATTCTTATTGTATTTATTTTTCAGTAAAACCCTTTTGAAAAGTAATAGAATTGGACTTTTTAAACCTTTTATATAATAATAATATGTTTCTTATAATTTACTCCGTAATGTGTGAACCCCATTGATATAAAATAAAGAGGAGATGCTGTGATGATACTAAAAGTGTCCCCACCTTTGCATTATACTTTTACGTCATGTATCAAACTCTAGCTAGAGAGCTAGTTAGTTTTGGTGAGAATAAATTCTATTTTTTTTTTAATAGTTTTATTTAAATGACATAAAACATTTTCATCCGTCAATCTTCAAATATAAAATTAGTGACTTCAAATAAATCAAAATACGATATTTAAACCGTTTTAAAGCGATGAATCAGAAATCACTTTGGTTACACCGTTGGTTAACCGTGAAATCACGTGACAAAAGCCCTAAAAAGATAACCGGTTATTGTAACGCATTTAAATATATTAAATAAGATTTTTCCTTTTCATATTAATTTTAGTCTCTATGAATTTATTCATTCAATAGTTAAAGTATTTTATCTAAATCCTTTTCAAATTTCTCTTCATCTATCATAAAATTTTAACCCTTTTTAGCCTATGGCAATCTCTAGACGATTCGGGTTCGAATACAAATAAGAATCATTTACGTTGAAGACCATTTACGGTTCAATCACGAATAAGAGTCACATTATTATTAAATGAGAGTTATGAGTAAGAAACCCGAATCACTTGGTTGAAGTTGCCTGACCGGTATATGATGTTTAAGAATTGATGTACCTCTGCAGTTTGGATTGAAGGAAGAAATACCTGATTTTACCTTTAACTTACAATACCGTATATCACCTTATTTACCACACAGATAAGTGCAATTAATATAATCAACAAATTGTTTTAAATTATATTCAAACTTATGTGAATTAGAATTTGATACCTACCTTATCTAAAGCATTTTTTAAAGTATAATTTGTTAGTGCTTAGTGATTTTCTATATTTTTATCACTAATGTAGAGTCAAGTGTATAAGCTTTAAATATAGTGGTGCCCAACTTATTTTTCAAAGTTATTAGTTATTTAAAAACCTAACCCACGCCCTATAAATTGAGCTCAAACACATACAGGGTGTTTCTAAATTCATGCGACAAAATTCAGGAGGTGATTGCTCGTATGAAATTAAGATGGGTCTTTCCTATAACAAAATTTCCTCAGCACACCCATTTCCAAGATATCACCCTTAAAAGGTGGTGACTAAAATTGAGTTATTTTTGTTCTAAAATTTCAGTAAAGCTAGGAACTTGAAATTTTGTAATTTTCGTGCACTTGCAAAGGACCAACCACGGATATTTTTTCAATATTTCTGTTACATTATAGGGGGGTGAAATTAGTAACCCTTACTTTATTTCATATCAAAACTTTTTTTCGAGATGAAGTTTTATGAAATAAAATTATAACTTGAAATCCTTGTTTTATTTAAAAAAAATTTTTTATTCTTAAATTTTTTTCCCAAAACCAATAACGCAGAGAAAAAAATAAACACCATAATTTATAATTTTTTTAATAAATTGAATGGAAAACAGTAAATATTTAAAATATAATACGATTCATAATAAATGCTGGAAATAACCACCTCTAGCCAAAATAAAATTACAGAATTTCAAGTTTCTAGCTTTACTGAAATTTTAGGAAAAAAAATAAAAACTCAATTTCAGTCACCACCTTTTAAGGGTGATATCTCGGAAAGGGGTGGGCTGAGGAAATTTTGTTATAGGAAAGACCCATCTTAATTTCATACAAGCAACTACCTCCTGAATTTTGTCGCATGAATTTAGAAACACTCTGTATATCAAAGTAGATAAATTAACCAAATATTTATGTTACAAGTTAGATTAATCTATCACAATGCCCAGAGGATTAATAAGAATTTGAAAAACTACAAATGGTGTACAAATAAAATATTAAAAAAATTATGTGATGCATAAATGTTCTTCAACCTATAGTGGACTCGATAAGCATATGGCAAATTTTATCCACATTCAAATTCGCCTTGATAGTAGGACAATAAAAGGACGATGCTTCGACTTCAATTTTTTTAAACTTATGTGCCACTCAAAGTCGCAAAACTCTTGATAGGTTTGTTTTATAAATATTTAAATATTGTAAGTACCTACATATTTGTCTGAGCATTTCCATTTTTAAATAGACAAATTATATGATGCGGCATTAATTTACTGTATTAAAAAAATTTAAAAATAAAATAAATTTATTTCAAATTTGAAATTAATGCAAAAATCCAATGAAGTAAAATCAAATAAAAATATAAATTGGTAATATATTTGACTAGTTTTAAATCATATGTTCTTAAACTAGTCAAAATAAACCAATTTATTTTTTTGTTTGATTTTCTTCATTACATTTTTGCCCAGCTACTAGAAAGTTAAATTTCAAAAAGCCCGCCAATGGCGGCCATATTGAATATTAATAATTTTCTTTCGTTTGTTCGACTCTCTTGATCATCGTCGATAATTCTGTTCGATACATCATCTTATTATCGATACATGTATTATGTTTGCCTTCTGTATTAATAGCTTGTCTCCTTCTAATAAATTGAAAAGGTACGTTTTTTAAATTATCCACTTCATAAAATAATTAATTGCTTGCCTGCTGTATTACTTTTATTTCCCATCTTCTTTCTCAATCTAATTACTTCTGTTTCCAGTTATTTTTAATCCTATTTCGCTTCCATCTTGTATCATTTCATTCAGTATTTTTATCATTTTTACCATTTCTACCTCCCATTTAATCATGACTAGTCTATCTTCGTTATAGGCTAGGTACTTTATTCATAAAACCTATCTTTATTAAAATGCTCTGTTGCGCATTCTAGGGACTTTTGATAAGTGTTGCATTTCATACTGCAGGTAGAAGATAATTTTACTATTATAACTTTTATTTTGGTACTTAAAACAGCGAGTTTTTAAAATTATTTGCAAAAAAAATGCAGATAAAAGCTGTGTATGCTATTATGAAATGATTACTTCATTAATAGATATTTTATAATACCAAATTACATCATCGGGTTTTTTTCTTTAGGTATTAATTTTATAAATGGTGATAAATAATGGTGTAATGCAAGTAAAAAAATTATTATCGAAGGATTTCTTAAGAAATAAGATATGTGAAAGAAATTGATTTGCTGCCACACACAAATTGTTATAAAACAGTCTTGATCAGTGACCTTCGAAAAATCCAGTTGTTTATTTCGTCGCTTTTTTGCAAATTTCTGTCCAAATAAGATATTGCAAATATATTCCAGGTAAAAAGTAATCGTCGTCAAATCTGCAGAGCTATTTTTATTCTTTGGAATTTTACGTGGGTCACAAACCTCTTAAGAAACAGTATCTAAATAAATTTTTTGTCTTATTTTGAGTTGTTAATCATGTATCGTTATTTACTTTCCGCTATTGTGTTTCTAAATTTGATAAAATCCAGTAAATTTTTGATGATTTACTTCGATTGACGATGTTCATGGCCGTACCATAGGGTTTTCGGAGGTTAATTTATTTTATTAAATATTCTTGATACCGAGCAAAATAGAAGCCGTAAAAGGCCCAAATAAGACAAAGAGGCAAAGGGATTAGAGCAGAACCGAACTTCTTAAAAATGGCTCACATGATAATATATAACAAATGGCATTTAGAGTGTAACAAGCAAAAGAATATTTTGAAACAAATTGATTCTTATATTCAAATTAACAATTAGATTGCTGGATGTATATCGGTCCGGTTTTCTAACGATTATGACGTTGGGACAGCATCCAGGAGGACACAGATCCGAATCATGCTCAAAGTGGATTTTTTTTAAGACAGTGTTCCAATTTTTTTCCGCATTGTTTCCAGCTCTCGGGGTTCTGGAATGTATTCCTGAAATGTCTTCCTTTGTCTGACAATAAAAAATTATCAATGTATCAAGAATTGTCGGTTTCTCACATTCAAGTAGTAATTAAGATATCTATGACAGTAATTATAAAATATTTGGAGGAAATAACAATATTTTCTCTACGTCCATTGATAGAAATATATTATCGATTTCCTGTTATTATAGGGAGTAATTAACGGAATCAAATCGTAATTTTATCATTATTTACTTCACATTATCAAGTTAAGTTTCATTCTATACCGGTCTACATAATTGTGGGTAGGTTCTTACGTCAATATTAATCAATACCTAGATCAACTTTCTATAGTATAACAATGCGACTAGCTGGAATTCGACCTTGAAGAATTTTCATTAAACGGATTCTCGCTCGGTGAAGATGTTTTTTCTAATTCAAATTAACAAACAATTCGTGAAACAAATGAGATTTTCGTTAAAAAGCGACACCTCGGCAAATGGCCTGGGAATGGCATTCTTTTGTTGCGGTCTAAATATTACGCTTTCTATTGGGCAGATTTAAGCTATCTAAGCTCATTATCGTGTGTTTGGATATAAATAATTTATCGTAGAGAAAATAGTTAAATCACGGCGATAATTGATGACTATGTGATAGATTCTGTAAAAGAAATGACTTACATTCAATTGTTTAGTCGTTTTTCCCACACTTTTGGGTTACATTGCAAATGATGTAATATAAAATGATAGCTGTTGCTGGTATTGAAGTTGGTTTTTTTTTATTTTTACCTTAGTACAAGCACATTTACCTCATGTTGCCCAATTATGACGAAACGTATGTTTATGAAGAAAAAAATTAGTTCAGGACAGAATTAATAACTCAAGATTGAACAAAATATGAAAAGTGTCACTATCTACTTAATAAATTACACTTCAAGAATGTCCTTTGAAAGCAAAAGTTGTATCAACAAGCCCAGTCATACTTAAATGAATATAGTAGTATTAAAAAGATATGTAATCTAATTTTATACGGTGACGACCACTGAACGTTTTCCAATACGCTTTGCACAAATTCATGT